TTTGGTCCAGTTTACCCGGTCAAATGCCTTCTGCCAGTCTATGAAGCAAACACACAGTTCTTCATCTATCTCCAAAGTTCGTTCCGCTATAATTCTCATCATCCCAATTGCATCCCTGGTTCCTTTTCCTCTTCTAAATCCAAACTGATCTTCTCCAAGTACATCCTCTATTTTCCTTTCAATTCTTCTTTTAAGTATCTTTGCTATTATCTTTGCTGTATGTGCAATAAGGCTTCTTGTGCGATAAGCCTTATTGCACATACAGCAAAGATAATAGCAAAGATACTTAAACTATATACTATAAACTAAACTACTATAACAAATCAAAACCTGATTCAAGAGGAAATTAAGAGGAGATTGAACTTTGGGAACGATTGCTACCATTCAGTCCAGAACCTTTGGTCTTCTTGTCTGCTGTCTAAAAACATAAAAAATAGAATATACAAAATTATTTTGCCTGTGGTTCTATATGTATGTTAAACTTGGTCTCTGACATTGAGGGAGGAATATAGACTGAGGGTGTTTGAGAACAGAGTGTTGAGGAGCATATTTGGACCGAAGAGAGCTGAAGTGATGGGAGGTTGGAGAAAACTACCCAATGAGGACCTCCATAAATGTATTCTTTGCCAAGTATAATTAGTAAAATCAAGTCAAGGAGGACCAGATGGACAGGGCATGTAGCATGAATGGAGACGAAGAGGAATGCATATAGGACATTGGTTGGAGAGCCAGAAGGAAAGAGATCACTAGGAAGACAAAAACGCAGGTGGGTGAATAACATTTAAATGGAGATAGGATGGGATGATATGGACTGGATTGATCTGGCTCAGGATAGGAACTAGTGGAGGGCTCTTGTGTACACAGTAATGAACCTTCGGGTACCAAAGAATGTTGGGAAGTTCTCAAGTACTAGCTGTACAACCGGTGGCTATTCCAGAAGGGCTTTGCTCATGAAGTTAGTCAGTCAGTTCAGGGAATATCAGTCCTAGGATGTTCAATGCCTTATTTGTAGGAGGGAGAATGTTTTTAAAATGACTTAAAAGATATCTCTCACACACACACACATACTAAAACATTTAAAAATATCTGAGCTCCGATCACATATCAGCTTTCAAGGACGTGTGAGGAGGCACAGGAATGTTAACCAATCACATATACGTACGTTCATAATGGATAGGTTTGAATGTTATAATAATTTATTGCATATTTAGGGCGTGGTAAGGTGTGGTGCGTCGTTTTATGTACGTAATAGCACATTTTTCACAGGTGGGGGTGAAATAACTCAAATATTTACAATAAAATCCTGAGATCGTTGGTGAGATATCTTAACATGTACAGACACACGTAGGAATATGTACACTGTCACACTCGCTAGGCCCCAAGAATTTTCTTGGCAACCTGAATCCAGTCCACATAGTGCGAAACTCTTGTGTAAACTCCAGGTCGATTCTTTTGGGCACATCCATCGCCCCAAGAGACAATACCCGTCAGCACGAATCTTCCTGCAATCATAGAGAGCTGGCTTTAATTTGTGTATGATAAACGGCGAAACGGGCCAAATGAACTGATTTAGTGGAAAGGTGTGATCGGAGTGAAACATTTTTTCAAATCCTTTGTTTCCAGTTTTGCAAATCCCATTGGCCTTTGTGTTCTTTCGAAACGCCGGTTGATTTTCAACGGAGTACATAGAGTTATATTCCAGGAGATAGAAGTCTTCATAAACAGCTGCGAGAAACTCAAATCCGACATGATTCAAATATATGTTACAGATATCAGCGACATATCTGTTTTATGTCATGTACACAAATCTGTATCTATCTGAAGTGTTCTGTAAGAAAAACGATTACGCCTGACTTGATATTCGTGCAAAACCTGTATTTACTTAGATTCGAAAAAATAATACCGGATATCCGGACAAAAGGTATCCGAAATAAAAAATGTATATTTCGGAAAATAATTGTGATACATGTATCCGGGTTATGTCGTCGGAAAGGAAAACTCTGAAAGCTTGTTTCCATATCCTGCTTAAGCTCATGGGTCACCACATTTCTGCTACCCTGTTACGAATCACCTGGACAGAGAGATGGCTGGGAGATGGATCGGAAGAGGTAGCTTGGCTTCCTAGGTCGCCCGATATAACCTCATTGGATTTTTTATTGTGGGGTTATGTGAAGAACATTATCTACCAGGTTAAGATCAACGACCTTCAACACCTGAAAGCCCGCATAAGGGAGGCCGTGGCTACTGTAACACCAAACATGCTTCAAGCAACGCGGAACGAGGTCGAATATCGTCTGTGTATTTGTAGTGCCACCAAGAGAGCCCACATTGAAATTTATTGAGAAAGTTATATACTCAGACAAAACTTTGATAGTTTCCCTTTGTAATGGTTAATTATTTTATTTTGGATACCTTTCATCCTGACACCCTGTATGTATGTCATTCTTTGTGATATCATGATATTTTGTATAATAACGTCACTTAGATGTATGCAGTGCTTGGTAAATTCATTTTAACAATTTTCCTAGTTTTATGAGGAGAGACATGCTTGAGGTGTCATCATGTCTGTGTCTTAGTTTTCCCTCAATTACTTCTGAACTAACTGACCTAAAAGGCCGCGCCATAGCTCAAGCGGTTAGTCGCTGGCTTCCCACCGTGGCGGCCCGTGTTCGATCCCGGGGGCTGCTCAAGTGGGATTTGTGGTGGACAAAGTAGCGCTGGGGTAGGTTTTCTCCGAGTACTTCGGTTTCCCCTGCCAATCTTCATTCCACCAATTGCTCCACAATCACCCTCACCTATCATCTGGGGCTGGTACAATAGGCCAGAAGTGGCCGCAGTACAAGGGACTTAGTCCCACTCCACTAGCAATAAAAAAAAACTGACCTAAAGATCAAGGCAGTATATTCATCAGAAACGTAGGCCCTTACTTAACGGACTACACGGTGTCATAACCCACAAGACACCAATTAAAAATCTGTGGAAACCTCAACCCTTGTATAACCGAGTTGCTTCTTACCGTTGATCTCGCACGCGAGGGGCCCACCAGAATCGCCACCGCAGGCATCTACTCCACCCTCCAGGCTTCCCGCGCACAACATACTGTCCAGGATGGACTGGCGTCGACCTCCGTACACGTCAGCCCTACGGCATGTGTCGAGATCCAACAGGGGTACTGCCGCAACCTGCAGAACCTGCGACAGACTGCTGTCCACGTCTTCGGCTGCAACAAAAGCGAGGATCTCCTAATTTCCTTCAGCTTCTGGTATCGCCTCGTTCACACTGCGGAAACTTCTAGACAGATCGAATGACGTATAACTTATTGCGACTTATATAGTCCATCCACTCTACGAACCAGGTTACGTCATATCTCGTATAAGCAATCTTACAGAAGAAATTACGGTCTGAAATTCCCACTGACGGATGAATATTGGAATTATATTGAAAATAGAATCTAGTAAGGGTACTATCTCATTCCACCAAAGTCTCCATCATCATAATCACCCGGGGCAGTACAATAGGCCAATAAGTGGCCGCCGTGCCGAGTGGACCCAACTGGACTCCATTATTAAAACAAAAAGGGTACTATCTTGTGGGATAAAATGCCGTACAGTCCGTAGAAAGTCAGGGATTTGCCTGCCACCTGCTTTCACGCTCGTTTCTTACTCGGCTTATTATTCAACCCTGAAGATGGAGGCTGTAAGTTCCTCCGAAACTTCGGTTGACTCTCAACGGGCTACTCGGCGTTATATCCCAGAAGATAGTACTCTTTATAAACACCGCTGTGGGAACCTTATTTCCTATACACAACCTAATAACTTTAAAATTATGACGTAACAGCATACGTCATTAACTAACGATGACGCAGACGTTTTCATGTAGCAGATGGAGTATATTGTAACTGAGACCTGTACTCACGCCTCTGAGCGCCCCAGCCCGTCACTGAGCACCAGGACCCCGTAGCCCCCTTGGCCTGCAGCTCGGGCAAGCAGATGGGCCTCACGTGCGAGTTGAAGCTGATGCCTCCTTCACTGAGAGCGCGTACCTTGATTAGTCCGATGTCATTACTGTAGGGTCCAACTGCAACAGACAACTTTTGTGAGAAAAGAGACCAGTTTTTACATAAATAAATCATATCGGCACTTGCCTGATGAGCTGTAATTATTAATGATATACGAGTATGTTGGAACGAATTTTCAACCTGCATTATAATAATTCAATTTATGTAAAGGTAAAAGGTAAAGTAAAAAAAAAAAGTAAAGGTATCCCTGTAACAGGCCGTGAAGGCCCACAGGGTTGTGAGACGTTGAGGATCCCACATTAGATAATCCGCTCAAAGATGGCGGTAAGGTTGTCAGCGCCAGCCGCGCTTTACTCCTCAGGAAAATTATTTAATTAATTCCTAGTACTCATTTCTGTTAGAAGCTGAGTAGACCCCAGGGCCATAGTGGGGCTGGAAGGATTAGGTCAACTGAAAAAAATCCAATGACCTCATTGGTGACTTGAACCCGCGACCTTTCGGCTTGTAGCATAGTGCCTCAACCAACTATGCTACCGCGTGCCCCCAAAGGTAAAATGTAAAAAGATAAAGTTGTCCCTGTGCTTAACTAATTAAGCACTATGCATGAAGGCGTATGGGGGAGTGAACGTAGAGAACCACATTTTCTTGACCTCGGCACTAGCTGGAGGTGAGTAGTCAACTTCATGCCCCGGCCGCTTTAACCCCAGGAAAAGAGATTGGAGTTTGGGTGGACCCCAGAGCCGGTCTGGACNATAAACATGAATTGAATTGAATTATTATTATTATTAGTATTATTATTAAAAGCTATCCCTGTAACAGGCCGTGAAGGACCATAGGATTGTGAGACGTCGAGGCTCCCACATTTTCTCTGGACAGTCGGCTCACAGATGGCGGTAAGGTTGTCAGCCTTACGCGCCGGCCGCCCTTTACGCCCCAGGAAGATTCGTGGTATTCATTAATTTGAGAAAATCCACCTCATCGTGACTCTAACCCGCGACCTTCCGGCTTGTAGCATAGTGCCCCATCCAACTTCGCTACAGCGTAAATATTAAATAACTTGCAAGAAATCAACCGTTGCCTATTTGAAGATATTGTAACAGCATTCATCCGGATATGCTTGGAAACCTTGGGAATCCTCAAACAGTATGACCACACTTTGACAGAGCGGTATCACACTAGGATGCNTTAATTTTGATTTCTATTTAGCACTTTCTTTTAAAAATTTAATTCAAGTTAAAGTATCTATAAAATATCTGTTCTTTTCCTTTTCCAAATTTTAAAATTAAAATTTTTTCTCAGGGTACATGCCCTATGTCTAAGTGCTGCAGCGGCACAGGCTGTGTAACAGCTACGTGAGAATACACACCTGATGATGGCCGTTTAGGGCCGAAACATGTAGTGTGGAGTGAGGAGAAGGAAGAAAGAACTGCAATAAAATTGTTACACTTAAGACGGTGTTTATCTTATGTAATATTGTAAATACATTGAGTTTGGCCGAGACGCTGGCAGCTGCGCCATGGCCTCCCGTTGGCATCCTAGTGCGATACCATCCTTACACCTACCTACAAGTCTAGAGCGTTACTGCTTCTTCGTACACCAACCTGCATGTAGCTTTGCCTGCAAATCCTACATACGCATTCATGGCGAAGCACCTACCTGCCAGGGATATGCTCCATAAGGGGCAATGGAGCCTCCCACAATTTTAGCAGCAGGCTGACCGGCCCTTGAAGGTTCATGAGCCACTTGCCTCGTACCGCATGTTGGGGGCTGGTACTCTTGTAACGGGAACTTGGGGTAACCTCCACTGCGAGCTTGCCTATGCGAGGCTGCAACACACAACTCATTATCACACTTCTGGGCAACGTACAAATGAGTCTGTATAGCGACTGGTTACGGGCTGGACAGCTATTGATCTTTTTTTGGAGGCAGCTAGAAAAATAATCTCGAAATATCTACTTACTGGAATTCTGTATGAACGCCTCTGAAGGGTATGTCCTAACCAACCGACTGAGCAGAAGATAGATCACAGGAAGTCTTGTTAGCGCTGCCATCTTCTTACGCACAGCTCCTTAGTTCGTGGGATCCTGGTCAAATTTCTGTGATGAGAAAGCACCCGTTAGATATGTTTAGAGATATCAGTCACCTCAGGTACAACCAAGACCCACAACATCACCAAAATTTATATTATATTTCACTAATAATATTCATTGTGAATGGAATGGAAGCCAGAGTTATTATACGTTTACATTCTGCAAGTGGGGTACACTACAAAGAAGTTAGAAAATGTGCACGCAGAATAACAGCTCTTGCGTGTTCCATCAATTTCTTTTTAGTAATCTAGAAAACATTAAGATTTTTTTATATATATATATTTATTAGCAATCAGAATAAAATACATTCTANTTAAACTATTGCACTGCTCGCCATCATGTGTCGTTTATAAAATGAATATACATTTTAAATCATTTTATAAACGACATATGATGGCGAGCAGTGCAATAGTTTAACGTAAATAACACACCTAAGGATGGCACAGTAATGCCGAAACATGTAGTGAAGTGACATGTGAGACTGTGTACACTAGAAGACGGCCAATACATACATATCACGGACGAGAATCAGTGCAACAGGACGCTAAAGTACAATATTACATATAAAGTTATAAAAGGGCACGTGCTTGTGTTCGTTTCACTGCACTCGAACAAGGACACTTCACATTACTTCATTTGATTCATTCGACTCCGCCTAAGGCCTCTGTAATAGTAACAGCTTTCCTAACCCTCTTTCTAAAAGTGTTTAATTTACAGGGGAAAGACGCTAGTATGTCTGCAGGCAAACTGGCCCAATCCTTTATGGTATTATTTACAAAGGAATATTTGCCAACATCTGGTCCTTGTTTCCTGCTCCTGACTTTCCAAATAAGATCGTCTCTTCTCAGGGAGCATGGCTGAAGCAGGCTATCCCCTATCGCTTTGCAAGCCGTCTCCTGGGGTATGCCGTGTAGAGGGCGCACAGATGGGCTCTCAGTCTACGCTGTGCCAGAGTTTCCCAACCAGATTCATATTTCAATTTTATCCACGCATTTGCTCGAAATAATTTTTTTCACTCTAATAAATATGTTGCAATCTTCGATCGAGATGAAAGCAGAGATGCGAGTTCAACTTCATGTAAAATGCCTGCCGCTATTATTGTATCATATTAATAACAAAATTTAAATTTTCTGCAAATATTACTGAAACTCCCTAGCGAGACATTTCATGAAAATGTGCTCAGCAATTCTTGAATTGTTCCATAGGTCAAATAGACAGGCATAAAGAGAGACAAACATAATGGCGAAGCTATTGACCTAATTTTTTCAACTTTTCATTACGAACACGCAAAGAAATCCTTATCCTTTGAAATATATGCACCATTTCCAACGAAGTCCTTAGTTGTTATCTTGATCCTCTGTATCAGAACAGTTGTGTTAGAAAATACTCACTTTTTTAGTTGACTTTCTAAAGCACTTGAAATCCAGGAGAAAACCATTGATCAGCGTGGTCCCTGTTTCGAAGTCTGAAATTAAAATAATCTGCGTTTCAATTTTAGTCTCTGAGGTGAACTCCTAACTTGAGTTTTGTTTGTGGGTGTTCGTATACAATGTGTTAAGGACAATATTTCGAAACAGAAGAGGTTAATCATTATGGAACAGAAGAAATTTTATAGGAATCTAAGCTTTAATAATTTCCTCACTTTAGCTATTAAAAAGGTAAAGATGTCCCTGCGTTTCACTAATTAAGCACTACGCCATGAAGGCGTATGTGGGAGTGCATGTATAGAATCACATTTTCTCCACCTCGTCACTAGTCGGAGGTGAGTGGTCAGTTTCACGTCCCGGCCGCTTCACCCCCGGAAAGGAACCCTCGGTACCCATTGTATAGGAAGTTGGGTAGACAACTGAACCAGTCTGGACGACATGGAGAAGTGAAAATTCTTCACTCTACCCGGACTCGCCCCTCGGTCGTCCAGCCCGTAGCCAGTCGCTATACCGACTATGCTATGCACTTCCGCTGTTATATTCATAATAAAGTATGAGCGGGGCAGCATGTAGAAAGCACGGGAGAAACAAGAAATTGGTCGGTTGTAACATTTCATTGTAAGTGCAATTTGATAGACATCAGGAATTACAACGAAACTAAGAGAAATATTATTTGAAAATATTATACAAATTCCTGTAAGATCGCAAAATTAGTGATGATTTTATTGATAAGTGACCGTCTCTATGGTCTAGTGGTCAGCGTTCCTGGCTACAGATCCAGAGGTCCGGGTTCGATTCCCGGTGCTACCAGATTTTTTCTGAGAAGCAGTGGGTCTGGAACGGGGTTCACTCAGCCTAGTAATGATAATTGAGGAGCTATTTCAAGGAAATAGCGGTTCCGGTCTAGAAAACCAAAACTAACGACAGTGGGGAATCGCTTCACTGACCACCCGACGTCCTCTATCTGCAAAAGTTGGCACTAAACTTCGCCCACAAGCGGCTGTCGCTTGGTCGGTATAGTTCGCTTGAGGACTAAAATCACAGAGTTTTGTTTGTTTGTTTATTGATTAATATTCGGCTCCATAACGGCAAGAATCTATTTCACGGTTGTGTAATCTTTTGTTATCCAAGAAAAATCACGGAAATTGATTATTAGGATGGGGACTGGATAGAACTGGCTATGGATTTAACCTCTGATTGTTGCTATCTATTGAGTATTCACCTTATTATAACGAAACATATCGAGGAGGCCGTGCTAAGTGAAATTTCGTGGTGTCCTGCTTTAACAAGAATTTAATTTGACTCATTAACTTCAGTAAATAATTGAATGATCTGTAGTTCGACTGAAGAAGGCAACTAATGCTCACAGTGATTTCTTTTAGAAAGCAGCAACTTGGAAGACACAGGAAGAGATGGAGTAATACAATTATGATTGACCTTAAGGAAATAGATTTTGAAGATATATGAGGTGGCTGGGAAGTGACCAAATATCATTTCTAGTGGTGGATTTTTTTATGTCAGCATTGTTGAACCTTCGGGGTCTATTGGCGGAATTAGTTACTACGATCCATTAGGGTCCGTTCTGTCAGGGAAAAATTTCATAGGCTCATGACACATATGTCATATTAGGAACATTCCTGAGCAACTGAATCCAACTTCTACACGTGCCTTAGGTAGGCCGCACACCGGCATGCGTCAAGACATGTAACAGTGAAGACACGATGTCTGCGACATGACGCAAAGAAAGGAGCACAGTTGAAACGAATGACATTATGAAAAACACCGCACATCGGTCTGAGTCATGACGACATGTCGCAGACATCGTGTCTTGATTGTTGCATGTCTTGACGCGTGCCATGAACTTAGGAAAATGGACTGTGGTAACTACACAATTTTAGAAGATTGCAGTTTGCTGGTACGTGTGGCCTTGTAATCTGGCAGAGGGGTAGCAGTGTTTCGTTGAAGCCTGCTGCTTTCATTTTCCTTAGGGTACAAATCTGAATGTGGAGTCAATAGATTCCTCCTTGATGTCGACACTCACACCAGACTACAATCGTCACAACCACCGCTGTAAGAACTTCAAATCCGAGACATACACTTTCGTCTGAACATCCTTTCTATCTAATGAATAAACACAAATTTAACTTCTGTTTTGCGAGTGGTCCAGGTCGGGCGACATGTCTCATCTCACATCAGAGCTGACACTGAAATGACGCTCGCAAGTCTGGCCTGTTACCCACGTCAAGAGTGACGTTTATTTGTAGGCCATTGATGGACTGGTGAGCGGCAGGAGAAGGCAGCATTTCTGGGAGAAGGGACGCAACAGACCCGTGGCTTCCACCACAGATAACACAGAGACTACTGCGGGACTCGTCCCGATTACGAGGTTATAGATTATTGAAATGCCAACAGTCGTTTCTAGAGTCTTGTAACGATGGGCTACAGGTTGGACGGCCTGGGTTCCATTCCCGGCAAGGGAAGAAGATTTCTCTGTTACATAGCGTCCAGACCGCTCCAGTGCACATCTGGCCTCATATTCAGTGGGTACCGGTGGCTCTTCACCTGAGTTTAAAGTGACCTGGCCGTGAATATGACCACTCGCTTCCACCCCAACACGCAGTGATTAATTAATTAACCACAGGATCAACTTTACATTTATCCTATAACAAACAAACTCAGTGGTCTGTAGTCCGCAAGCGAACTATACTGACCGAGAGATCGCCGCTTGTCGGCGAAGTTAGTGCCAACTTTTGCGGATAGAGAGCGTCGCGTGGTTAGCGTAACGGATCCTCACGCCCTTTATTCTCGGTTTTCTAGACTGGAACCGCTATTTCCTTCAACTACGTTTCAGACCCACTACTTCTCAGAAAAAAATCTGGTAGCGCCGGGAATCGAACCCGGAACCTCTGGATCTATAGCCAGGAACTCTGACCACTAGACCACAGAGGCGGTCTCATTTATCCTATAATCTCACATAATTGCAGCCTATGTTGCCAAATGTACGTGATATTCAGTTTGGTCCATAATTTTCAGACCCAATCCTCTTAACATGTTTTAATTCAAAAGTTTAAACGTCATTCATTCATCTCCATAGAGGGGCTATTAAATCCTGTGATGGAGCAAAGGTTACGTACATGTAGATGTAGTTTTTTTTTGGGTAAATTTGGAATCCCTACAATTAGACGGTACGATTGAAAAAAGAAACAAAAAACAAAAACTGAACTGTAATAAGGACATGAACCGGAGAGCTTGGGTCTACAAGGAAGTACAAGCAATTCCTGACTAATCAGAATGTTAACGCGGCAGCGTAAACCGCTGACAATGCGGAAGGGCTATATGAAATGGGCCATAAGCACTATGGCAGACGGAAAATGCTGAGTAGGAGGAGGCGGCCTACCAAAAGAATCAACCCCTTTTTGATTGACAACCAATAATCAAGCTACACCGACCCAAACTCACGTCAGGGTAGGAGGACCCCTATACCCGGAAGACGACGAGTCAGCGAGCAGAGGTTATAAAAACCCGAGACGAACCATTTTAGGAGCTTCTTTTTGGCTTTTTAGCTTTTTAGCTTTTGCTTTTTGGCTTTCTGCCTATTCGATCCGATTCGATTCTATTCAGATCTATTACACTATTCTTATTAATGTCATTATTACATTAGTATTACAATGGTGACCATGAGTGGACGCGGGATCGTGATGGCGAGCCTCCTCATCTTCAGCTCAAGTAAGTGAAACCATCTCATATAGCCATGATCATTAAGTGTAAAGTGTAAAGTGTAACCCGGGAGAGATAGGCTAATCAGATGGGCTAGGTTCATTCAGTGATTCCAAGCATAGAATACCGACAGCAGGGTGACAGGAGGTGGACATGATGAGACGCTGCGACAAACGTCGGCACAGTGTGTATATAGTGTATATAACGACGCAGGTAAATAGAATAGGCTAGGAATGTGTATGAGTTTAATTCAACCACACATATCCTCGAGTGTTACCCCCCTTCCTCCGACTCCAGGACTTCCCAAAGCTTCGGCGAATTACGGTTTAACCCAGACAGTAATGCAAGCTAAGATAAGTACGAGATTTCTTGAATTACCAAGATGGTGGCAGCATACTAAACAGGGTGACGGAGAGGGATATTTCCTCGCCCTCCGTCATCACGGCAGGAGATAAGTGTAGAACGACAGCTAGAGAGAGGTACAGTGGCGGAAGCGGTGGAGGTATCTCCACGCCCCCTCCCCTTCACGCCATAACAAGGGCTATCACCAGGTAGAGATGCTGTTTACTACAACAACAATAATTCAATTCAATAAATTTCTTTATGGTGGCCTGTCTGAGGCAGAAATTAAAATACATAAGAAACACAAGGAAACAAAGACAGCAGAAATAGAAATTTAACCAGAATTGAATGCAAGAAATCTTGCATTATCCATGATAGATTGACAGATTGAGTTCGCCTTAGAAAACAATTGTAGAACTGCCCACATTTAAGCAATTATTAAAGTGACAACTCAGGTATAATT